ACTACCTAATTATTCAGTTTACTGCCTTTCAAGGGAGATCCTCGTTTGTAAGAACAAATCCCAGACTTAAGAAAAAAGGGAGACTTCGAGACCGAAAATAAAGCAGTGAAAACGCGATATCGGTACTTTTCGGATTAAAGTTTACGTGAAACCACCATTTATGGGTTGAAATTGCCCCTGTGTGAGCAGATTTCAGGCGGGGAGAGGAAAAGAGGGAATTGTTAACAACACACTGAAGATAGCCAACAGCAAGTTATTACTTTTTGTTTCACCGTTTCCCAGCTTTAATGAATACTATGTACATTACTTCTTTGGCTGTAAATTGGTAAAGGCCTTCGATTTGTTTTTGTTTATTTAGTACACAATTGTAACCGCTGTGATTTATCTTGACCTGTTTCAGTCCAGATAAATGACAATACTGGAGTTTTCCTCCACGTTTAGATTAGAATGAGCGGGAAGAAGGATTATGAACTTGAACTTGACATGAACTTGAAAGTTAGAAGGATCTACCCTCGCTTAAAAGTAACCCCAGCTCTCTGACCCACTTGAGGGGCGTCTTAAGTGTTGTAGGAACCCAATGTTGACTGGCCCCCCTGAACGTCAAGAAAAAACTTCGCCATTAAAATAAAGTTAAAAGTTTCTTGTCTTGCGTCCATATGGGGATATAGCTAAGTTAGAAATCTTGCAATAAACTTGCTCCTCACACAAAGCCATCATTGACTAGCCTAAGACCAGTTTAATAGTTCAAGTGCTCAGAAAATGAAATATTTTTAGCAGAAGCTCATAGTTCAAAACTCGGCTGAGAATTCCTTGTGGTCTCACATGAACACAATCGCAGTTCACAACCTCTCACAAAACCAAAAAGGGGCTTTGTCTGCTTTTTCTTTTGCTCAGGTGACGTCGAACTTTTAAAGATTTGGGATAAACGCTTTCTACTCCTTAAGTTAAGTAAGGTTTTAACATGAACGTTCTTTGTATTTGTTGCAGCTGCCTTCCTGACTCAAGTGTCAGGTGATCGTAAGTATAAATATTCGTTATAGATGTCTGCATTTAAAAAATCTACAGTTTGATTTTGTGTTTAAATGGACAGGATTCCTCGTGTTTTACTAAGATAATGGTAACAATTCAGTGTGCTAGTATTCATTTCTATATTTCTGGAACTATATCAAATTTGTCTGCAGTAAGAAAGTAAATCAGTGAAAAATGGATGCTATCTCTTTCAGCTTGCACATCTGGAGAATCCATCAATGCTTCTAGTGGCCACATTTCCAGCCCCAATTTTCCCGACAACTTTACTTCTAACAGCATTTGTATCTGGAATATCACGGTTCCCAGTGGGAAAATCATAAAAATGACCTTCTTGAACTTTACCCTGGTAATAAATGAACACAGTGACTGTTCTGGAGCAGATCAAACAAGTGCCCGAATTTTTATCACAAACGTTGCATCGCATAACGGAGATCCTAATAACTTTACGCTTTGTGGTCAAGACCTTCCCTATCCTGTTTATTCCGAGGAAAATTTCATTCAAGTGAGGTTTGAATCCCGCACAGGAACTGTAAACAAAGGGTTCAATGCATCTTATAAGGCGATAGATGGAGAGTTATGTAAGTGATTTTTTTCTTATGGTAATTCATTGAAAAAGGTAAATATACCGTATGTTATTTACCAGACGAGAAAAAGCTGTGCTCCCGGGTCTTGGGTACGTCCTTGACCGAAGAAATGGAAGATGATTTATGTGAGTGATTTTTTAATTAGGAAGCTTATCAAGGCAAGCTTTTGTACAATGTTTCTCTTTCATTTCATGCACGTTACTTTTACTGAAATAAAAGGCTGCAAAATACGAAAATTAGCTGTAGGTGGTAGTAAAAATTAGTTATCCAGTCGATCACGGTGGACTTTAACCTTGGTGGAAAAAATCAAAATTAAAATAGTTCCTAAGAAAAAGAAGATTTGCCCGCAGTTTTTCGATGGGAGCTAAGTAACTTCAGTTATAACAATAGGCAAGATGTATTCGCCTGAGCCTGACACAGTTGATTACTCTTTTCAGTGTGCCCCACAGATATGATCCTCAACGATACAACAGGTTCTTTCTCCTCTCCCTTTTATCCAAGAAAATATCCATTCAATCAGAACTGTAGCTGGAAGATTATAGGAAAACAAGGATACCGCGTTAAGCTTACAATACCATACCTCAATCTGGATCAATGTTACCCAAATTGCTCGTGTGATTCTTTAGAAGTTCAAAATAGCTTCAGTGAAGATTCCGCTGCTGGAAAATTGTGTGGTGTAAACAGGCATGGGAGTTTAACCTTCTATTCACTACACGAAAGCTTGAGGGTGGTGTTTGTGTCCGATAATATGGATATGAGTTATGACGGCTTTGAGGCAACTTACAAGCTGTTGAACTACAGTCCTCCAAGTAAGTAGCGAAAATAACTTCGTAAAATCTCAGGTGAAATCTAATGTTCTTACTTCGGAATATTTAACGCTGCAAATGGACCATAGCCAGAAATAGTAGACGGTTTGCGGTCTGAACGGTGCGCGCGTAAATTTCAGTATTTAATATGGCGGACGGACGAAGGAAAAATTATTCGAAGGGCTATTACCACAGCTCAAATGCTCTTAGTTCTGCAGATTTCGTGAAGAATAGATCAAAAAGAAGGAAAAGCCCTCCCTTTCAATGATGTCTCCACTAAAAAAAATTTCCAAGGTTAAAAAGAAGTTCTGGGGGAACATCAAACATGGCATTTAATATTACTATAGTTTCCCCTAAAATTCCTTCTTTTCGATTTTTAGCCAATTATTTTGTAGGCGGCTTTTTTTATCTTTAGGTAATTCATATATGGTAATTAAAATGTGTTTAAAAAATGGCGGGCGAAGTGAAAAGAAAACAAACCGCTCAAAGGAGTATTTTTGCCCAAGTATTGGCTTCCTTTCCTTGCATCTCGCATTTCTGGAAAATGCCACTTTACAAATTGAAAAGGCACCGTGTTGAGGGATGTTTTTGGAGCGAAAAAAAGTTTGCTTGCGGGTTAAACTTCTTATCCTTCGGATATGATGATGGGGAACCGAGTCGATGAAACCGTTTCCTCATAGCGGACTAAAGAAACCATGAAAGTAAGCCCTATTTAAAGATAAGTGAAAGAGGAAAGTATGGCTATTATATAAGGTTATTGGAATGAAAATGCGCCGTCTAAAACCAGCTTTTTCTCACTTTTCTTTCAATTGAAATACGGTTCGAACTTGACATTATCTATTTTGTTGATGGCGAACTTTGAGTTTCTAGCAGTAATGACATAAAATGCAAATTTCATTTATTTCCCTATAACTTCCTCTATACTTCCAAGCCAAATTTACTCCGCATTTCCGCGCTAAGAGGATACTGGCGGTCATTTTGGCCGCCATCTTGTATAAGCTTTTTGGTTATGCTACAATTTGTTCCCCATACTATTCCCTATAACGCGTTGAAATTCTCAAAACTTCCTCGCGTAACTTAACACCACCTCACACAACGTGTGACGCTTTCAATAAATAATCTTTAGCCTTTTGTCGAGGCGTGATCTTGGAACGCTTGTACGCCATTCTCCGATGATGACGACTGATTCCCCCTCTTTTCCACCTGAGAACCACGTCTTCCTCCTCCCCCTCCTATCACAGGCGATAAATAATAAATGGTCCCTAACTACGTTCTACTCAGATCACCAAAGTTATGATATGTTTTTTTTTTTCACCTGCATTTTGACTGTACTCTATTTCCTTTTGAAAAATATATTGAGCTTCTTTTCCACACCAATCCATTATTACTCTCCCACATTCACTTGGATATTTTTCCTTTTTTCAGTTTGTCCAAAGGAAGCGATCCTTCTCTCAGGTAGCGGGAAAATAAGCAGCACAAACTATCCAAAGAGTAACTACACTGCGTCCAGAAACTGTAC